TCTATGTAATTCTGTTAAATTGTGTGTTCAGAATCATGGGAGAATCGTGATCTCTGTTTAAAAAAAAAATAAAAAAAATATTCTCAATTTATCCAGAATCTCGCAGATCTAATACACAATATATTGAAATATTACAAATTTTATTACATTGTTTATAATATTATGACAGTATTTTTATTATTGTAAGTCATTGAATCGTTCAGTTGGCTGAGGCTACGTCCACATTAATCCGGATACATTTGAAAACGGCGTTTTCGTTTAAAAACGCTCTCCGTCCACACTAGCGTTTTCAGGCGTTTTCCGACGTTTCAGTGTAGATGAGAAACTTCTAAATTCACCTTACTGCGTATGTGTGAAACCGCACAAAAGCTCACCGAGATGATACAGATGGAAAAATAAATAATAAAGTTACCGCGCAATTCTTCTAACAGGATAATTTTATTTAGCAGAATATCTCACCATCACTGATGCGTCCAGGTCACACTCAGTCACCACATGTTTGGTCTAAAACGCAACCGCTCTCATGTTTTGCTGCAGGACAGCAAATGTGAGTAAATTTTCAGTCATCTGTGCAGGACTGTGATATGAAGAGTGTACAAAGTAACATATTTTAGCAACAGTGTGAAAGTGAATAGCACATAACAGGCACAATACCGGTAAACATGAATATCTATTGGTACAACATGGATCACATGACTAAACTTACGTCATCGTTTTCAAATACCTCCGGCTTCACAGTCCACACTACAACGCGAAAACGGCGTTTTCAAATTTATCCACTTTGGAGAGCGTTTTCCAAAAGCTACGTTTCCAATGACTTAAAACGCCTTCTCAGTGTGGACGGAAGGCCAAACCGAAGAGAAAAATATACGTTTTCAAACGAAAACGTATTAGTGTGGACATGGCCTGATTCATTCAAAAACACGCTCACAATCATGTTGTTCTGAGTATCTGCACACACTGATATTCAGAACAACAGTACTCATGTAATAGTGCATAAATATACTAAAAAGTAAACTGAAACCAGTCATAGACTGAAAAAGAAACCGAATTGAAAGTAAAATAAAACTGACATACAATTCTAAACCATAATAACCCTGCTTTTGAGAGGAGGACTTCACTAACTTTACAAAGATTAGCTATATCTTCCTTTTCATAATTGACCAAAACAACAATCATATGCAACAAATTATTCAACAACACAAAAGGCAATTAAATCACTTGTTTTTCTTCTCTTTCAGCAATGCACCTCTTTCCTTTTCATCCAAAGTTTGTTACATAAAGTATCGAGACCCTTCCAGTGTTGGTGTGGCACAACATTTAACCAACACAGTTTTTATTGACAGAGCTTTGATTGTTGTGCCCTGCGCTGAAGGTTAGTATGTTTGCATGCGTGTTACATTCGTGTGCCTGATTATAGAATGACACTGGGTATCTGACTGCAAATCAAACTTTTGAGAACAACAAAAGCATAATTGGCTTCCTGACATTATTTTGTGTGTTTTTGTGTCTCAGATGTGTATGATAACCATGAGTTCTGTGTGCTGAGGTATCACTGTTATCAGCTCTGTTTTATTTTGTGAGTTGAGTGGAGGTGGGTGGAGTGACACCAGCTCTCTTGTTTATCAGTTGAGCTGAAGGATGTGGAAATGATCGAGGTGATTAAGATCATACTTTATGTAACAGCGTCAGGACTTTGTGCACACGCTTTCAGTGTTTTGCTAAAACTTTTTTTTTCATTGCTTATGAAATGCATTACTAGAAAATTAGATACACAGAGATACATTTTTTTTAAGGATTTTTAGATGAATAGAAAGTTCAAGAGAACAGCATTATATATATATATATATATATATATATATATACTCAGTGTAAAATCTTGACTGTTACTTTTGATACATTTTTTGCATTTTTGCTGAATAAAATATTTTCTTTAGAGAAAAAAAAAACAACCTTACAGACCAGAAACATTTGAATGTAAATGCTGCAATATATCAACTTATAAATCCAAATAAATTGAAATTAAAGCTGCAGTCCGTAGTTTTTCCTCTTTGTCGCCATCTCTGTTCGAAATCTGCAATTGCAGTTATTCACGGAATTATCTGGGTTGTGCCCCGGCACGGCACAGTGCGGATGAATTAATGTTTTGAGGAGAATGTGCGGCTGTCAGTCGCCGCGCGTTGTGGATACTGTCATTCAGAATCACAGATTCTATTTTTTGGAAGTATGACCAACATAAGAATTTCCACCGGAAAATGTCATCTGAACAACTAAAGCCTGGAACACACCAAGCTGAGTCCGACGAACTAGCGCTGATCAAAGCCGAATGTGTTTGTTGCCTCGCGTCGGGGTAAAAAGCTGCACTTTAACATACCGAGAGAACTACTGCTGACTGTTAGCTAGAATGCGCATTCTGCGCCTGCGTGTAAATGAGACAACTGTCTATTTCTGCGGATATATTCGTCTATATTCGTCATTCAAAAAGGGAAACCGACGCTGCAGGCTGCAGATACACAAACCGTAAACAAAGCAGTTACCGTTTTGAATATCAATCCTGCTAAACACTTTCTTTATTCCACTCCGCAAGTTAATATTGAAATATTCGCCAAGGAACACTCAGGTAAGATGACGTAACATAAGAACAGCCTTCTATCTGTACCGTTTTGACTTTTTTGCTCGCTGTTTTGCTATTATTCTCATGCACTGACTCTTTCACTAAGCTGAACAGCCAATCAGAGTTCCCTCTTTCACCGACGGCCCGACGCCAATTCAACATGTCGAATCGGCCGAAACAAAGCCGACGAGGACCAATTTCAGCCGACGGTGCGGAACACACTGAGAAAACTTAGTCGGCCGCCGCACAAAAACTGCCCGACGGCCGACCGTCAGCTTGGTGTGTTCCAGGCTTAAGGGAAAAAAAGAATTGCAGTAAATCGCGCTGATTAATGATCGCTTATCATATCATGTCAAACCATGCAAATTATACTTTGTTCTCAAATTGTTAATGTTAACAACATCAGCATTGCATGACTACATTTAATGCCCTTCAGATATTTGTCCTTGTTTTTTGTTTTCGCATGGAGTTGTAGTCTTTTTTTTTTTTTCTAGCCACTCCGAAGTCTTTTGCATTTTATATTGGTGATTGTCGTTTGAACCTTTCTGGATCCGCCATCAAATTGATAAGTTTAATTATATCAAGTGCTGTGAGAAAAGGCTATAAATCTCCACCTCCAACATCCTCACACGCAACATAGCCTACTAGCCGAGACTCCTTCTTTATGTGCACAGATGTGACGTAATGACGCAAAGACATGCTCGAATTTTCCGCAGAAATCCACTAGAATTAAAAACATTATTACAAGCTTACCGTTTTGAATAGAACTATTTTTTTTAGCTATTCGAGCTCAAATTTATTTTGGATAATTTGTAACCCAAAAAATAAAGTTACGGACTGCAGCTTTAAGACACACCATGATTGAAAGAACAAACTGTTTAAAATAAGTGTATTTATTTGGCAGATACAAATTTTATATATTTACATTTTAAATGAACATATTTAATTATTTATATAAGTAACACTCTTTTTTGTGTGTGACCAATAATTCATTGCATTCTAGCAAAACTTTTTGACAATGATTTTTTGATTGTCATGATTTTGTTTGTTATATCTATAAAAAATGATCAACTTAAAGATTTCAGGTTCTGTTAAGAGTGAATTGTTACACCCCATTCTTTTAGTGGCCCTTGGTTTAGCAGTATGCGTTCAGAAATATAATGGTAGGTAACTGTGTAATTCTGTGATTCTAATATTATTAATTGTCCAGACTTGCTTGGCTGGTGAATATAGCTTTACATTTTTAATTTGAGTTGCTTGCTATGTGTGAATTGTGAGAGGTTTTGTTTGCTAAAACTGATGCTTTAGCTCAATGTTTCTTAACTCCAGTACTAGCGACCCACCTACCAGAATGTTTTAGATGTCTCTCTAATTAAAACCTGATTCAAATGATCAGATTCAGCATCTTAGTGTGTTGAAGACATTTAAAGCATTCTGGGTTGTGGGTTCCCAGTGATTTACCTCACAGGAACTATGGCACGTTTAGTTAATAGGGTTCAGATTAGTGTCCCTTGAATATTTTTATCACAATCCTTTATTCTGTTGAATGAGATTATATATTGGATGTTATCTAACATACAAATTGGCATAAAATGTAGCTAGTGTCCAGCACATCAAATGTCTTTACACAGGTTTTTAGTCAAATTGATGCCCTCATTAGTTAAGCTCAGTCTTGTTACTAATGTTAATGTAATAAAAACAATAAAACACATTTAATTTATGGGAAGTATGTTATATATTTATTTTTATTTTTTTATTTATCACAGTAATTTATTTTTTACTACAAATCAAAACTAGCTGGCCACAACTGAGTGATTTTGTAATTTAAAATAAAATTGCAGCCGTACTTATATTTTTGATTTTATACATTTTATTTGCTTAATTTGTTTGGCCAATGTCCATTGGCAAACATAAAATAACCCTAATCAAAGTTTTAAACTGTATTCAGACATGTGCCACAACTGTGTATAAATATAGAAAACAAACAGTTAGTTTCCCCTCCTGAAGTAGACCATTTTCTGAAGGTTAAGTGCCTAGTTTCACTGACCAAGAAACATGCAATCACTTTATTTTAAATGGTTTCAAGCTCCATTTTTGTTCCCTTTTCATGCAAAGTGGACTATGAAACAAGCGATCGTAAGCAGAGTAGGCTACAGGGTATGAGGTGAAAGGGTGAGGTCTTCTCAAGTCTAATGTGCAACCACTGGCTAACCACTTGTTTCTTTCACTGTAAACATCCGTATTCATGAAAAACATGGTATCTAAGAGAGCTTCCCTCTTGCCTGAAATGCTTGTCCTCGTGACTTGGTTCTGGATGGCTTACTACGTTGATTAATTTGGTTTCTGTATGTTTTTTCTGTGTTGATTATGTGTGCATATCAGATGACTAGAGTGACCCAGGCTACACTACTACACTAGCCTGACTCAAGGCTTTGTTTTCCAAGACACTATACCCGCCGGGGCCCACGCTGCCTTCAAGGGGGGAATGTGACCAGGAGCGTAGCCGCTGAACCTTCCGAGATGGACACCTTGTCTCTTTTTTTTTTATTTAATTTTATTTTCATTTCCTTTTTTTATTTCTCTCTCATGTTGTCTCTTTTTGCCTCTTAGAAGAGTTGCATATTCATTGTGTTGTTTTTCTTTTTTTTTTTCTTTTTTTTTTCCCCTGTCCCCTTGTCCCTCGTCCCCAATCCCACAGTTGCACCCCTTTGCCTGTCTTTGAAAGCTGTCCAGGTTGACTTGACGCCCAGTATTGGAGGGAAGTTTGAACGGTACAAGGGCAGCTGTTACTGATTTCTAATGCATTAAGATCTCCTCCTCTCTCTCTTTCTCTCGCTCCTCTCCACTGATCTGCTCAGGGTTCTACTTTGGAAAATAATCTTCACAAAAGTATTCAGACTTCAATTTTCTGTTTTTACTGAATTATAGGTACTGAAATAAATAAAAATCAGCATTAGACACCACTATAAGACAGCATTAAATTCTGACAAATTTTCAATGTTTTATTGAGATCAGGACTTTGACTGTTCTTCAGCCACTAAAATGGTAATTTGACCTCGTTTTTGACATTGCTGTCCTGCCAAAAGAAAAGCAAGTTTTCAATGCATATTTTCTAGGGCTGCATGATATATTGAAATAAAATTTACTTAACGATATGGCGAATATCAAATAACAAAGGTTTCCGATTTAATTAAATCAAATAATGTGCTATAGGTTTCAGAGTAAAGCTCGACACTGTTTATTTACACTATGGTTTGTCAATTTTACATCGAAGCCTGATGGCTTAACATTTGAAAATGAAATTAAGACTTAAAAAATTTGTATTGTAATTTTACAGATGTACTTTCATTTTTATGAAACTTCAAAACGTTTTATTTTTTATGAAATACTCGATTTTTTATTTAACAGTATAATAGCATTATTCCAATATATTTTTTATTCTGTTTAATATTTTTAATCATCACTAAATTCAATAATTAAAGTTTTATATTATAGTCAAATTTAATGGATCAATAAAAGCAGGAATATGGCCTGTGAAAACTCGAGATTTTTTTTTTGAACTTATGTAAACTTTAAGAACATTCTTGAATTTTAAGATTGAATTTTTAGATTGTGAAACTTATGGTTACTGAAAGAGGTTTGAGTTGATTCTTGTGAAGAGTGTACTCAAGGTACCCATCACACTCAAGCATGGTTCGCATTAAAAAACGTAATTTTGAGCTTTTTAAAACTATTTTCATTTTCTAAGCTACTGTAATACACTCCTCAAAAAAAAAAAAATCCACAATCATTGTAGAATAATTATTTTTAAATTGACCTATTCATCAATTTCTGTATTTTTCATAATCATAATTTCATAATACATATAAAAAAAACGAAATATCGCAATGTCAGGTTTTTTTTTCCAATATCGTGGAGCCCTAGTATTTTCTTAGAGTCTGTAATTCAGTAAAGTGACAGAACTGCTGCTAGAGAGTGTTTAGAATTCCTTATTTTTGCAAGGCACTGCTTTTCAGTTCACTGTAATGACAAGGAATAGAACCATTTTTATTAAAAAGCTCATACCATTGTACATGTTTAAAGCGTTAGTTCAACCAAAAATGAAAATTCTGTCATTAATTACTCACCCTCATGTCGTTCCAAAGCCGTAAGACCTTCGTTCATCTTCGGAACACAAATTAAGATATTTTTGATGAAATCCAAGAGCTTTCTGATCCCCTATAGACAGAAACTCAATTACCACTTTCAAGGCCCAGAAAGGTAGTGAAGACATCCTTAAAATAGTGCAGGAGACCTTAGTGGTTCAACCTTAATTTATGAAGCGACCGAGAATACTTTTTGTGTGCAAAATTTTTTTTAGAAAAGAAGCTAAACTAACAACTTTATACAACTATTTCTTCTCTTCTGTGTCAGACTCCTATGCTGTTGACGTAGTGAACACAACGCAGGGCTTCTGGGGCATGCGTCGTGGTGCACACGTGAACAGCGTCGGAGACTGACACGGAAGAGAAGAAATTGTTGAATTAAGTTGTTAGGTTTACTTGTCTTTTTTTTCCGTTGCTTTATTAAATTAAGGTTGAATCACTGTAGTCTCATGCACTATTTTCAAGGTTGTCTTTACTACCTTTCTGTGCCTTCAAAGTTGTAATTGCATTTCTGTCTATGGGGGATCAGAAAGCTCTCGGATTTCATCAAAAAAATCTGAATTTGTTTTCCGAGGATGAACGAAGTTCTTATGGGTTTGGAACGACATGCGGGTGAGTAATTAATGACAGAATTTTCATTTTTGGGTGAACTAACCCTTTACCTTTAGCATGGTTTTGGGGAACATTGTCTTTAGAGTAATTCTGAAGTAGCTGAACGTCATATTTGAGGTTTTAATTTAGTTCTTCACTCATTTAAAAGCACAGATATACAAATAGTCAGTTTACCCATGAGTACTATAATCACTGTGAGCACAGAGCATGCGTATATTTTACCAATACTGGCTGAAACGTATTTGGAAAAATTACATTTGTTGTTAACTTTATTGTGAAGGCAACACTTTTCAGGGGTGACAGTTTGAGGGGGGATTTCTCTAAGACACTTAAAATGTTCTTCTTTTCTGTATCTGATGTTCTATGTGCTATTAGTGTGATGCAGCCAACATGAACGGTTGTCTTGTGTTGCACACCCTTTCCAACACTGCGACACGATCGCCCCAGGGAGAAAAGCGCCCATGCTTGATATCGTATGGTTCATGACCAATATGTTTCCAGTACAGGTGACCCATACCATAAAGTGTTAACTCATTCTCTACATGTTCTGTTCTGATCTTTTTTTAAAAGAGAGAAAAGGACAAATCACAATGTTCTTTTCTCTGTTTTTGTGCAACAGTCATCCTGTTTACAGTATGTCTTGTGTTGATAGTAAAAGGAGAGTAGCTATGCTAGTTCAGTTTGTTTGATTGTTCATGGTCGGGGTTGGAGATGCTCAGGGTGGGTGTTAGAGCACTAGGCTTGTTGGAGGACTCTCCTCTGAATCTTGGGTCGTAGAAGAAGCAGCTGGAGACGTCTCCATTGGCCACCCTAATGCCAGTGTTCTTGTTCTTCAGGAAAAATCCCTGAAGAGGCAAAGGCTCTCTCGCTTTTGGCCCCTGCAGCACCCGTAGCCAGCCTGATGAGTGGAGGAGGACTTCTACCCATTCCCAGCCCCACCACGCTACAGAACGTAAAAACACACTCTCACAAACTAAGGCTGGAATACACTACACAACTTTTCCACAGATTTTTTCTGTCTGATTTACATTTTTGGAGGAGTTGACACTAGTTTGCTTAGTCTCCATGTTTTGGGCAGTCGGAGTTGATAGATTTTACCTTTATTTTTTTTCCTTCCGACTGTGATTCAATCCAGTCGGAGGATTTCAAACATGTTTGATATTTTGAGCTGATTTTAGAAGACATAGTTTTAATTTGTCATGCGTCTCTTACCAACGAGACGCATGTTTCTGCATGAGTTTGTTGTTTTTGGAACGACTTGAAAGTCGTTTAGTGTATGAAGCCCAGTTTTTCTCTGTAACCATTTACAAAGTCAACAAGTGTATGATGCCTAGTGTTTTAAATGCGTTCAGATTTTAAAAACCGTGTAGTGTATTCCGGCCTTTACTGAATGATGAAAAAATGTCACCTACATTCTCATCAACTGCATGCCACAGATGTACTATTTTTAATCCCAAACTGTCAATTGTCAAGACACTAACGTGTGTCGTATTTGGGGGCAGCGAGGTCTTCCTTTAGCTAATCTGGGGGTCCTGAAGTCTAGTTTGGACACGTCTGTGGCGGCTCTGAGTGCAATCGCTTCGCAACCTCCGCTCATGGGTAATGTTGATCCCTCTAAAATTGACGAGATCAGGAGGACGGTGTATGTCGGCAATTTGAATTCACAGGTATGTGATAATGAATTAGAATTTATGGCAGAGGCAAATATCTCTTTACCCCAAGTGCAAATAGAAAAAAAGAAAGTAGTGTCAATAGTGTTAGATGCCATTTATACTTGCATAATGACTAAGCCACAACAGGTAAATGCTGTCTACACTGGATGCGATAAAGCAATTGTTGCATATCGATTTGTTCCTTGTGTCAGAAATGGCAAAAGTGCTTGGAGTACGTCAGAAGTAGAATAGGTCATCAGTTTACTGTTTGGGATTCGTGTCGCGCTGCATCCAGTGTTGACAAAATCAATTTTTATAATGGATGCTGCATTATTGGGTCCTTACTTGTTTCTATCCCTAATGCCCACCCTTAACCCTAATCATATTCAACCTGCTGATCAGTAAAGGTGTTTTTCAAGATCCAGGAAAGGAGCCATGGTTACATGGTAACCATATGAGCTGCACGCGTCTAAATTGGTGTGCCAGCCAATCCGATCAACGCGAGAACACCACATCCAATTGCAATTATAGGCCTGTTAAATACTTGTTAAACACTTTATTCACATTATTAGATACTCGTTAGGCTCTTTATTTCCACTTGTTGAATATTTGTTTATATTGTATTCACTAATATGCCTAATATGCCAATGTAATTAAACTGGATATCGAAACTAACGCAATATTCTCTTTTGTCTTTCAAGCTCATGTTGTGCTTGTTTTGTCCTTCTGTAGAGCACCACAGCAGAGCAGCTCCTCGAGTTCTTCAAGCAGGTGGGAGATGTGAAGTTTGTTAGAATGGCAGGAGATGAAACACAACCTACACGTTTTGCTTTTGTGGAGTTCTCTGATCAGGATTCAGTGTCACGAGCACTTACTTTCAATGGAGTCATGTTTGGGGATAGGCCACTTAAGTGAGTGTTCTCCAGTGAGAAAGACAACTCTCCAGCGTTGTTTAATTCAGTGCATCCCATTTCATCCATGTGATATGCATTTAAATAGTAATTAATCAACATAACGTCATCTTTTTCAGAATTAACCACTCCAATAATGCCATAGTGAAGCCTCCAGAGCTCACGCCGCAAGCTGCGGCCAAAGAGCTGGAGGACGTCATGAAGAGAGTTCGAGAGGCTCAGTCAACCATTGCTGCTGCCATTGAGCCAGGTCTGCCCTCTCAAACCTAGACTAGCACAGTAATACTTTCTTAAAATGTTTTTCTTTTTAATTGATGCGAGTTTTGTTTTTTGTTTCTTTCAGACGACAAAAATCGCTCACCCAGTAGATCCAGACATTCCAGAAGGTCAAGAACTCGCTCTCGCTCCCCGTCACACTCACGGAAAAAACGATCCAGGTCGAGGCATAGGTAGATTACACACATTTTTAAAAGTACTTGCCTTGTTAACTAATAAACTAGTAAAAAACTACTCACAGTATAAAGTACGATCAATCAATCCTATTGAAAAAGTAATACACAACACTAACATGTTACTAACAATGTAACTTTTTTTAACGGGGAATATATATCTATATATAGTTATGTAAGGGTAATATTATTTGTAATTGTACATCTATTATATAAAATATAATTTATTTAAAAAATAAAAGTTACATTTATTTGAAATAATTTCAAAGTCAAGTCAAAGTATCTTTATTTGTCTCCCCAAGGAGAAATTAGTTTTGGATAAAGAGATTGCTACATGAAGATTTCAACAAAGACAAAGCAACCTGTGCTAGGGTTAAAACAGTTAAAAAAAAAAAAAAAATACAACATTAAAGCTACTCAGAGAACTGTGCAAAATAGCAAATCACCAAATTCCTAAATTCTGCTCATGCAAAAGTGATATCATATCATGTCCATGCATAACATTCAATCACAGATATACAGTATACGGCTATACAGACTTAAAAACAAATTAAAAAAACAAAAAAGTACATAGGATATTCAAGCTACCCGAAGAGCTGTGCAAATTGCAAATCACCTTTTTCTAAAAACTACTTATACAAAATTAGTTTTTAGAAAAAGGTGGTTTGCAATTTGCACAGCTCTTCGGGTATTTAAATTGAGATCATTGTTTCTCCCTGAAATTAATACATTATTATCTAACTGTGTGATTTGTATATGTACATTTCTGAAATGCATAACTTGGACACAGTCACCTCTGATAAAAGATCACTCTAAATTGTGTAGACACGTGCATTTTGTGTAAAGCTGCTTTGAAACTGATTCCCCTTGTAATTCCTAGCCACCACAAGGCGAGGTCAACACGTTTGGCCAAAAGATAGCTTTTTAATGTTGTATTATGAAGCAGACGTGGCTGTAGGCACTCGCACTAAAACTCGCGCGCACAGAAACATACAGGAGCGTAGAAGCTGGTTATTTTTTATAATAACTTATTTTTCTGTCTATATCAGTTCAGTCAAATTTTGTGCTGGAAACATCCATGACATTTTTTCAAAAACATCTTATCCATGGCGACGACAAATAATCATGGCCACCCGATGTGAATTATAAAGTTATTTTAGTATCGCGATCACCAACAAAATAATTTTGACGGGGATTAATGTAAACACAGATATATGTTACCAGTCTGGATACCAGTCATGTCTAAAGTGAATGTAAACAGACGGGACAAGTCAGATATGGTCAAAAGATCCGATCTGTGCATTAAGAGTTGCAGTGTAAACGCAGCCTTAGTCAAACTAACAAACTCGTTAAATTGAATCCGAAAAACTGTTAATCATCATTTGAATGTTATTCTTGATTACAGGAAACCCAGCAGGTCCTTAAAAAGCCTTAAAATATGTAAAATATGTTATTCAGTTAAAATTAACTGTCATAAATGGCTTAAATATCTTACATAGAATACCAAATATCTTACATAGAATACCAAATGTCTTAAGAGTTCTTCAATTTTAGAGCCAGAAAAAAACAATCATGATTTTTCAATCAGAATCATGATGAGGCCTGATTGGAGTATTTAACTTCAAAACGCAATCATTTAAATAAATACATGTAAGCATTCTACTTTTCTTAGAAAAATATGGCACACACAGCATACCGCGCATTTATGACAAGTGATTGCTTATGATCTAATGTTGATGAATTATGTGAGTGTTTACTTTATGAGTTTATATTGTAATATATTGTTGATGGTTGTAAGCATATTTTATTTCCCTCAGCTTTATGAATGAGCAGCTGGACGTAGAAAAGCAAAGGCATTTCAAAATAAAGAGTAGCAGAGTATTTTTAGCTGGTTTATTATTAAAAGTACTGCATTATGCAGTTTTTTCTGTTATTATTGGTAATGGTATCTGGCATTTAAAGGTGCTCTAAGCGATGTCATGTGTTTTTTAGGCCAAAACATTTTTTGTCACATACAGCAAACATCTCCTCACTATCCGCTGGCTGCCTGTCCCCTGAACACACTGTAAAGAAACGCGATCTCTGTAGACAGCCCATGCTTCACAAACAGCACCAAAAACAAACTGCAGCGACCCGCTCCCCAAAACATAACAAACTGTTCCAGCCAATGACCGACAAGAAGGGTTTGGGGGTGTGGTTTGGGGGGTTAGTGTGCGGATGAGGAGGAGGGAGGGTCTAGCTAGCCTCCGTTTTGTTTGACAATAGTTCGAACGTCAACAAGAAGTGACGTCACCCAGGATCGCTTAGAGAACCTTTAATTTGAAGTACACTCTTGTAGCTTCTCTCTGGGCCGCCCTGTCACAGAAAGGAAAGATTAAGAACATTATTTAACTACCCTTAACCTTAACACCACAATAATCTGTTAAGTGTCTTTCTTTACTCATTTTTATCATATGAGCAATAATCTAATACCGATGGATCTCTGATATATTAGTACCAATATGTATTAAGTGCATGTATAAATGTAAAGATTTGTTTTAAGATTGTATAGCTTTGTTCTGTATGGACATGCAGTATCAATTGTATTCGTTCAGTTCTTAAAAATGCCTTAAATTTGATTTTAAAAACGGCAGATAAATAACCTGTGCTTTACTTGTTATATTTGTATAATTGGACCTCATTTTCACTTGTTTAATGTTAATAATTTATGTATTGTTGTAGCAATGGGAAAATAACTTATTTTATCAATGGTATTTAAAGGGGACGCCCGTCCCAGAGATCACGGCAGAAGTTGAACGCCTCACGTGGGTCCCATAAGAGACGCTCACGTTCCCGAGAAAGGAAACACAGCCGGAGTAGATCTCATTCCAGGTTAACCTGCACCACCACACTGGCCACTTTATTCTCAGATTTAGTTTTGTCCCCCCAAAAAAAGAAAATTTCAAACCGATGTTGTCTCTTAAACACAGGGACCGAAGGAAGGACAAGGACAGTAAAGTTAGGAAGGGCGATGGCTGGGATGAAAAGAGGCTGCGGGACAAAAAAGGAAGGATGCCTTCCAAAGGCTACGTTGGCTCCAGGCGTTCCCGCAGTATAAGCAGGTCAGAAGAAAGTGTTGTTAAACCTGCAAAAAAAAAACTGCTATGAAATGATATATATATATACTGTATATATTAACAATTAACTTGATCCTGAATTCTTTGCCACACACTTCTGTCCACACATTTCTTCCTGTGTTTAATCTCACTCTTAAAATGTGTGGATTAGTGATGCACAGACTGCGGTTATATCTGCTAGTAATAGATGGGTTGAGCGGGCCAAGTAATAAAAAATATCATTCCAATTAAATGCAAGGTGATGAAAGATAAATCATTAAAGTCCCCTCGTTTGACCGTTCGCGAAGACCCCCCCCCCCCTTAGTTACTGTCGCTATGTCCGACAAGCTACGCTGCTCTCACACACACACCATGTTCTCATGCAGTGAAAAATACATCGCGTACTCTTTATGGACTTTTTGAAGCGCCAAAGTGGTAGTGACGTAGCTGTCAATGGAGAGGGCCAAAAGCTCATTTTGAAATAATGATTATTTACAATATGTACAACTTATCAAAAAGAAGCAAAAGTCAACAAAAAATCTGGAGGAGAGGAAGGAGTAAAAGAGAGGTGCTTAAATCAAAAACTGAATAAAACAAAAACCCTTCTAGGTTTAATCCAAGATAAACTAACTAACAACAAAAGTTAAAAAAAAAAAACTTACAAAACCATACATAATTAGCACCACCTCCTAAGCCTAGTGCATCTGATACAATAATGAAACCTGCTTGCTGTAAATGTAGGTCGCGACCTGCTTACCTGACTCACAACCTCTCCAGCCATTTAATGTTTCACATCAAGCATGTATTGGGCGGCAGTGGCTCAGTGGTTCATGTAGGTTGTCTACAAACCGGAAGGTTGGTGGTTCAATCCCCGATTCCACCTGAACAAGTGTCGAGGTGTCCATGAGTAAGACACCTAACCCCAGCTGCTCCCGACGAGCTGGATGGCGCCTTGCATGCCATCGGTGTATGAATGAGTGAGTGAATGTGTGAATGCCAGGCAAGCGCTTTGGTGGCCATTGGGTCTGTGAAAGTGCTATATAAATGCAGTCCATTTACCATTAAGCGCATAGACAAGCACAAACAAACAATGAGAACTAATATGACTGCCAGATAGTAAAGCCAGCTGAACGCTTTGTTTGGTATGATACAGAATATCCGTGTTACTAGTATCTAATTTCACAGATACTTTGTTTCTGAATATAAAAATGTGGATACAATCCAAAATATTTGCTCTGGCTGTTGTTTTAAATGATTTTGTTCAGTTGTTGTGCTAGTTGTTGTTCATTGCACAAGCAGGATGTGGCGGTTGGTCAGTGTGGTATTTGTCCCACCCCTCCTCCACTCTGATTGGGTGGCTGCGTAAAAAGTGACAGTGGTGAGCGCAGTGTTTTGCCCAAAGTTGAACATTTTTCAACTCTCGACGCCCGGAAAAAACGGCAAGTGCTCAGTGTGAAAAAGATACTTATTGACTCGTCACGCTGCTGTCGTTTTTGAAATGTTTTGAAAATGATCACAATGAAAACAATTGAAAAAATACGCTGGCCTTAGGGTAAAAAAAAAATGCTTTGGTGGACACTGGACATGCAGCCTTAGTGCCTTTTCAAAATATTCTGTAAAAATAAGTTTTAAAGGTGCAGTAAGCAGCAATTCCTGAGAAAAGCTGTTGATATTTCGAAATCACCAAAACAAACATGCCCCTACACAAAAGTATCACACCCAGGGCTTGACATTTTCTCACCAACCACTGTTGCTAGTGGTTTTCCAAAGTTACTAGCCACTAAGCATTTTCACTGGCCACAATTTTGATATTGATACCATGGGGAAAAACTGCCATGTAGATATATTTGGCAGCAGGCTTATTTGGCTGCTGTCACTTTAAGACTTGGCGCACGGATCCATTATCCTGTTACACATTTTCTTTCTCAACTGTTTATGTTAATTTAAAACATAACTGACTGTGTTTACGCGAGTACTCGCAAAGACCGGCATTTTGACTATAATAACTATATTTTTTACTGAGAGGTGGCTTTATGTGAGCGCACTTTGGGTGTTAGCACAAAATCTGCAGGAATGAGTAAAATTATGCGCATTCCCACACCGGAATTCCATCCCTGCAACACCAACAAAATTCATCCGGAGCAAATTAAATGAGTGTGTGAGGGGAGGCGGGTTTGTGTGTCAACTCGCTGTCGGAGAGATGATAGAGCGAAAAAAGCGCAGCTGGTAACATGTATCTTTTCTGTGTAAAATTAGTATTGGAAGCGTTTCAAATATTTCGGATATTGAAGCTAATTGTAAATAAGATTGCCGATATCTGTGGCATGCTGTCTGCGGTCCTCCCTGTTGTTATCTCTCGCACTTGCTATGCTTTTATATATGTCTCATTTAGTTTTAAACCGTAACGCTACATTGGTCAATGACCATTTAACACTATTAAACATTCGTAGTGCGGTCACTGCCCTGCCTAACGTTAGGTGCGAAGTTTGTGGACCGTGCCTCAGCCTTCCACCTTGCCCATCTCTCCCCCTACATACCTGTGTCCCGGTTCCAAGTGGATCTACGACACCGGAGAAGGCTCGGCAAGCGCGGGGGTATCACTGTACGACTCAGATTGGCCCTGCTACAGAATTACGATCTGCAACACGCTTCTCTCCGATGGGCATCTGATTTTTCTCACTGATTCACCGCTGGCCAGCGTTCCCTGGATGACCCATCACCTTCATTTATATAGTGCTTTTAACAATATAGATTATTTCAAAGCAGCTTTACAGTGATAATAGGAAATTAAAGTAACAGAGATTGTTTTTGGCTTTACAGCAGCTCTAGAATAAAGTTATATTCCAGCTAAAGTTAGTTTTGATTGTTTCACTTCCATCACAACGATCATTAGTTATTAACTTAGGGGCCGCTGACACGACACCGTTCTAACAGAAAACCCTTAATGCGATCCGGCCGCTCATTTGCACAAACAGTGCCTGGTGGCTCGAGAACGCAAACCATGAAATGGGTTCCAAGGTGCAAGCCTTGAAAAATGTATAATATATATTTTTTTTTATCACTATCGCGTAGCCACGTGAACCGGAATTATCCCGACAACGTTTTATCTGTACAGAGGAAGAGGGAAGGGAAGGAGGCCTTCATAGGGGAGAGACTGGTTGACACTTCAGGACTGCGTTGTCGTCGTGTCCAGGCGCAGGTCCTTCATCAGATCCGGATACGGCCTGGATCCGGCGGACTGCGGTAAACCTCGGGATAAACAGAGAGACTAATATTAGCGTAGATGCCATCCTTCTTATGATGTAACAAGTACATCAGGATTTATGGAAAGTGTTCCTCGTTCCGGATAATATCGATGACTGCGCCCTATTCTCCCCAGATTCCTCTCTGCTCCTGCTTAGATTTTCTCTCGTCCTCGCCGTGGTGGAGCGAATCTGTACAACCTTCGTCCGCTGTGCCGAGAAACAGTCAGAGACAGTTTCATCGCGGTTGAAGTTCCCTCTCATTAATGCCCGGTCTCTAGTAAACAAAACTTTCATTTTAAATGACTTTTACCACTCAAGCGCTGGATTTTCTATGTGTCACGGAGACTTGGACTAAGCCTGGCTAGTTATTTCCGTTTTCGGAACTGGTGCCTCCCGGCTGTGATTTTTTTTTTTTTTTTTTAAACTCCCCCATGTTTGTCTGGCTGCGGTTGGTGGTCTTGTCCCTATTTTTAAAGATACTCTTCACTGTCGACTTCTACCTACTGGCTCATACCACAGTTTTGAGGTGCAACTCCTACATCTAGTCTTAGTAAACCCCATTGCTGTAGCTCTAATATATCGTCCTCAGCAAAACAAGGACTTTTAAAGTGAACTTGCTGTACTAATGGGCGATTTAGTTACCAGTAATGAAAAAATGTTGCTGCTGGTTGATTTCAACATTCATGTTTGCTGTGCTTCTAAACCATATTCTGCAGAATTTCTAAATCTGATTGAGTCTTTTGACTTTACTCAGTGGGTTTCTGGTCCAACACATATCCATGGCCACACCCTTGATCTGATTTTATCCCATGGTTTCTCTATTTCAAACATAGAAGTCAGTAGTGCATCTTTCTCTGACCACAAGCTGTACTTTTTACTGTCCCTCTCACTGGCAGAATCCTCAGAAATCCATCGCTGGCACGCTTAACTGGCTCTTGTGAATAATTTTCTGCAGCCTCCCATGATGTACGTAACTGTTTGGAGTCTGACTCTAACTTTGCATAATCTGGATGCTGATGCACATCTTAATCATTTTAATTCCACCTGTGCAGATATTATGAATTCTATTGCACCCTTGAAGTACAAAAATCATAAGCCTGCACCAGTGCCTTGGCACATTGGCACTACACGTACCCTTAGACGGGTGTGTAGACGGGCTGAGTGCCAATGGAAAAAGGACCGATTGCAGATTTCTTATGACATTTTGAAAAACACTTACAACTTGTTTCAGAAAGCTGCAAAGGTCGCAAAATGCAAATATTTTTCTGAACTTATCACAAACAATTGTCATAAACCTGAAGTTCTCTTTTCCACTATTAACTGTTTTAAATCATTCTGTGCATTCTATTTTAGAGCCCTCTACTACTCTCTGTGACAACTTTGGAAAGTTTTGTGTTGATAAGATCACAACTTTAAGATCTCAGTTGTCTAACTCTGTATACACTATGCATGATATTCCATTATGTTCTTCCATCTGGTCTGAGTTTGAGCCGATTGACCTGGATTTATGTAATGAAATTATTGGTCACCTAAAACCTACTATCTGTCCTCGGGAAATTATTCCACCTTTTTTTTTTTTTTTTTGACAAATCATGGACACAGTTGGTCCTGGCCTGTTATTGGTTATTAACAAATGCCTGTCTACTCCTAACAGTCTTAAATTTGCTGTGGTGAGGCCATATCTTAAAAAAACAAACTTGGATCCTTCCTCTCTTTCTAATTTCCGACCTATTTCTAATCTACCTTTTATCTCGAAGATCCTTGAGAGAGTTGCTCTGTCTCAATTGAGCAACTCTCTGAAGTGTCTCAAACTGTCTCAGTTTATTTTTACAGAAACTGATTCTGGGAAATCCATGGCTTTAGTTTTATTAGATTTGAGTGCTGCATTTGATTTGATCGACATGAGGTCCTATTGAGACGTCTGGAGATATCTGTGGGCTTTCGTGGCGTAGTCTTACAGTGGTTCCGTTCTTATCTGACCAACAGATGTTTTAGTGTCCATATTGGTCATCAGTCGTCCTCTAATATACCTCTCAACTGTGGAGTACCACTGGGATCAATCCTCGGGCCGGTATTGTTTACCCTGTTCATGCTACCTCTGGTTTCCATTTTTAATAAATACGGAGTATCCTTTCATCTATACGCTGATGATACTCAGATCTATTTTCAGTTCAAACACAACGATAAAAACGGATTACAACCACTGTTGGCCTGTTTAAATGAACTTAAGCTTTTGGCTTTCAAGTAATTTTCTAAATTTAAATAAAACTGAAATAATTCTATTTTGGCCCAAGGAAAACTGTGTGCTTGATGTTGACTGTGGTTCTCTTGCCCCATATGAAACTCAAAGTGCTAGAAATCTGGGCTTTCTGTTTGATCACAACCTAAAATTTGATAAACAGATCAGTACTTTGAGGCCCAAAACTTTGGAACAGTCTACCTCTACATTAGATTAGCTCCCTCTGTTTCCACCTTCAAATCTTCTTTAAAGACTTTTTTGGCTTTCAATACCCAATACTTGATTTAGGTACGATTATTTTTTCTCTCTTGATTATCTATCTATTGTTGTGTGTCCTTTATTGGTAGTTTTATTTTTCTTAGTTTTATTCTGTTCTGTACAGCACTTTGGTCAGCCTTGGTTGTTTTTAAATGTACTTTATAAATAAATATTGTATTGTATTTCAGTATTGAAATGTATCGAACAATCAATATTTTTAAAAACATTATATTGCACTTAGTTTATTATTTCAGATGACTTTTTAAAAGACTACAATTGAAAAATGTATGTATTATATATAAAATTCAACCTGCCAAAGTGGCTAGTAGGAGTGACTGGATTACACGCCATTGCTGAAATCACCCCAATTTGGCGGATGTTAATGTCAAGCCCTGATCACACCCCTGTTTTGATAGCTCTGCCCACAATTTATCGAACATGCTATGCAACACAGGCACCTCCCCCAATGTGTGTATACTTAATGCTGATTGGCTACAAGTGTGTTTTGCTGCTCGGTCCGATCCACTTTCAACAGCATTTCTTAGAAATTGCTTACTGCAACTTTAATACAATTTTGTATCAATGTATAAATTTTTAGGAAAGATGTTTAGATATTTTCACTGGAAAAAGAAGACAAAGTTTTTAACAATATTTGCTCCAATATTTGTTTTGTGTGTGTTTTAGATTGACTTAAGTTTTTTCCCTTCTTTATCTCACAGAGGACATAAGAAAAGAAGTAGATCCAGGTCACCCAAGCGGAGAGCCAGGTCACCATCACCATCAAAAAGGTTTACAGCGTGTGACAATTTGGGTCTGACACTATTATATTGGCATGTTCATTACTAAAATCTTAATTTCTCATGTCTGTTTTCAGAGGCAAGAAAGATAAAAAGAGAGATAAAGGATGGGACAATAGCAGGGAAAGGATGGAGAGCTCAACGTCCAGGAGGAAAAGCAGGGATTCTGACCATAAATCTAAACCCTCACTGGTGTGTCTGATTTTTATTTTAAACACTTAGTTCATTTACACGCACATTGACCTTCATTCATGTAACGCAAACAGAATAAATTTGTATTGGTGGATTGATGCAGAAATCTTGGTCTGAGGTTAAGTAATACCCTTAGTATTAACATTAAATGAACACCAACACATTTTACACAGCTGTTCCTAGAAAGTCTTTGTGACTTATATTGTTAATAGCACCATGGAAGGACAGTTTCTTTATTCATATTGTGAAACTACATCATTACCAGGTACATCTAATCTCTGGAGGCATATGAACTAACGGTTAAACAGTGTGGTGGCATTCAGATAGTTGTGGGTTTGGTCGTGGGAGAATAGCTAATGTTAATATGTCTTCTTTACACCACTGTCAATTTCTTCTGTATTCAACTCGCTGGATCAATAACCGGTTTGCATTGATGATTTTGCAATTATATTAGTGATGTTTAAAAACTCTAAACCTAAAGCTCATAATGAAGGACTCATCGCTCCCCGCGCACCTCAAAGAGCTCGCTGTGCACGTTCACATTAAATAATTTGCATGTTGCTCAGCTGTAACGCAGCGTGCTGCTCTAGTTTTTATAGATAAGAAACATAGGATCACAGCTGATCCTTTCAAAGATTGACTTTTAAACACTTTTTTTGTACGCCTGTCTGCATCTGATAACTATCAATATGATAATTTTACCGTAAAACTTTGATATTTCCTCTAAATGCGACGTCTTTTTGATAAAGTGTGAACCATTCTCACAGGATTTATCTTTTTGACAGTTTTGACATCTGATGAAAACACTTCTGACACGATTACTTGGTACATCAAAGCATCTGAGCGTCTGACAATGAATGCTCAATGCATCAATTACAGAATATAAAAATCCTATATTTTTTATCAAAAAAAAAAATGTTTTTATGCCTAGGGGTGTAGTGTTTCAATAATCATTTCTTGATGCATTGATTTATATGCATTATGTGACTTCATAATCATTTTTGGTCCATCTTACTAAAACAAAGTCATTATTATTAGTGTGCATCTAAAAAAAAAAAAGTCAGATTTTTACCTCAAAATCAAAATAATATATATTTTGCATAAAGACAATGAAGCCTATATTTAGGATGTTTATTTGTGATTAATTTCATGACATTTAAGCACAATTTCCTCACAATTCTCATTGCTATGATGTAAAAAAAAAAGTCATGGAAATAATAGCAGAAGTTGATTTTGGGGTACCTTAACATTCACCCTGTCTACCTGGTCTTTTCCATCATTTCTATTAACTAAAGTAATAAATAAAAATATTTCACAAGTAATATTGTGAAATATTATCACAATTTAAAATAACTGTTTTCTATGCATATATATTTTAAAATGTAATTTAACATTTTCAGCAGCCATTCATCTAGCCTTCAAGGTCATGTGATCCTTCAGAAATCATTCTAAAAAGCTGATTTGGTGCTAAAAACATTTATCATTTCTTGTGCTGCTTCATATTTTTGTGGAAACCATGATCCATTGTTTAGATAAATAGAAAGTTCAAAAGAACAGCATTTATTGAAACGAAAATCTTTTGTAACATCATAAATATTTTTACTGCCTTTTTACTACTTGTAAATGTTACATGTGGGAATTAAAGATGACTTTGGGCTATGAATACCCACGAGATTATAATTCTCGAACGGTTATTTAGACAGTTGCATGCTGACTTTATTCTGGTTTCAGTCAGATTTACATGGTTTGATTTTGCAGATGGAAAGGAGCTACGAGCAGGTGGAGCAGGAGTATGACAGTGACATGGACGGGTCGGGCTCTTTGGGAAGCGATGACCGATCTCCTCGAGCTCATCTCAACGGCAGCTACATGAGCACTTACGCTGAGGAGGACGATCTCTCTGCAGATGAGTGATCCACATCTACCCATAATGCCAAGTCTGGAGAGCACAGCATTATGTATCATACTGTAACAACTGTCTCACTTTTTAAAGTGCTTTCTCTTGCGTCCATTGCTGTGTGATTGTAGGCTTTTGAAAACATTTTCTACTGCTGTGAATATGCTACCTGTCATATGATATTCATATGGATGAAAATGTAAAGTTTTGGATAGATCTACATGTGTGGAGAGATGCGGTATATTGAACGAAGGTGCTTGTATTCAGGTCACTCTTTTTAATCCGTTTTGAATTTGTTTTCTTTTGCATGTCTCTTTGTGTTTACTCTCTTGTGGAAAGATAACATTTTATGCTTATTTGTATCTTTTTTGGTCCATCTTACTAAAACAAAGCCATTATTATTAGTGTGCATCTCAAAAAAGTCATGTATTAATTCAAAATAATATATTTTGCATAAAGACAATGAAGCCTATCTTTAGGATGTTTGCTTGTGATTATTTTCATGACATTTAAGCACAATTTAAGCACAATTGTGATAAATGTATGTATATGTATGTACAGTACTGATCACAAGTTTGGAAACGTGCTTTTAAAAGAGTCTTACGCTAATCAAGGCTGCATTTATTTGATAAAAAATACAGAAAAAACAGTAATATTGTGAAATATTAAAATATAATTTATTTTTGTGATGCAAAGCTGAATATTCAGCATCATTACTCCAGTGTTCAGTCAGTTACATGATCCTTCAGAAATCTTTATAATATGCTGATTTATTATCTATGTTGGAAACAGTAACGCATAAGTGTCTTCTTTCAAAAACATTAAAAATAGTAATGTTTCCAAACTTTCGACCGGTACTGTATGTATATCCTGAAAAGTGGAAAGGTATTTGTCATTAATTGTCATGAAAATAATGGCAGCAGTTGATTTTGGGGTACCTGAAGATTCACCCTTTCTACCTGGTCTTTTCCATCAGTTCTATTTACTAAAGTAAAAAACAAAAATGCAGTACATGTGTAGAATAACACTCCCAGTGAACGGTTTCAGCACAGTGCGTGTTGAAAGTGCCTAGACAGAGACTGCGTGGCGACAGAATATTTAACAACTGTAAATCAAGTCAAAAGGGGTTATTTATTTAGCATTATAACAAAGCTTGTGTAAAATGCATAGTTTTATCTTTATTTTTTAACAGTATTTAGTATGAACCAGTGTATACAGAGACCTACATTAATCTCTTCATACAAGTATTGTGTGACATATATTCAGATGTTTTAATGGGTTTTCTAAGAAGCCTTTACCGATTGATGAGTACAGTACAATTATTAACAGTCTCATTTACTACAATTTAAAGCTTCTGAATATTATTTATTTTTTATATTAAGTATTTTTTGTTCAGTCTAATTTTGTAAGTGGGTATATAGAATTATATACAGTACTCGTTAGCAGCAGAACTAATATGAATAAGGATGAAGTGACTTCTCAATTACATTAGTTTGTGAGCAGTGTGATTATCTGCATCTGTTTAGATATACATGTATAAATGATTTTCCCTAACGTGACATTGACATTAAAGAGGTTATACTTCCAGTTTATCTATATTACTAACGAATGTTTTTCTGAATGTGCAGCTCTTTACATTGTGTGAACAAAATGTGAGTGGTGCTTGTGTGACATGCCAAGTTCCTAGTTTTAAATGTGTAACGGTCCTTACGATTTAAAAATATAAAACATGAAACACTCGAATGCAGAGAATCATATATTGTAAAAATATGTTTATTATACATGAACAGGAAATAAAAGAATACATACAGTGAAAGTAAATGGGAATAAAAGTGGTCCGTACGACTTGTATGCTAAATTTCAAGTCATGCAATAGCTTTGAATGAGAAACCCACTAAAAGTTGGCATGAAATGGAAATCTATACTGTAAATGCATTCTTTTGATTTTATTTTGAACAATTTATCCATGCATGTTTCATTTATTTGACCTTTTTGTTTATCCCTTTCTTGCAATCGACTGCAAAGATCTGCCTCCATCCAATCAGCAACCAATGAATTGAACCTCGCCCTTCTTTTTTTTTTTTTTTTTTTTACAATAATCAGTTAGGGACCGTTCGGTATTTATGGAAAGGGCCACCGGAGGAAAATAGGGGAGGGTCATGTCTTTTTATTCTTTGTTGAGGGGTGGGTCATCCAGCTTTTTTTAGTCTAGGGGGAGGGTTAAAAATTTAGATTTTTGAGGTAAACTATTTTAAGCCTTGTTCAGTCTTTCAGTCCAAGTCCAATTTTGTGCATATCCTATTGGAATCTAGTCATATTTAGTGTAAACAGTAGGGGTGTAACAATATTCAAACCGAACGGAAAAACATGTCCGGGTACCTAGCATAACCTTGGCTCTCTGATAAGAGGGAACGAGACACTGCGTCACCGAAAGGTGGCGCTAGGGGTTATCCCCTCATTCCTCGGATCTACTTATGCCTAATGAAGTCTCGCTGGCAAGAATCCGCCCGCCAATGGCGTTCAAGTGTGAAGTGCTGAACGCCATGGCCTAAGAATCTTGGACTGAAGCAGAGTGCAGCCGACAAAGTCTCTGAGCTATGTAACACGGCACCGTACGCAGTGTCTCGTTCTCTCTTCACAGGGAACCGAGGTTACGTTAGGTAACCGGAGACGTTCCCTTTTGAGTCGGTCTCTCAACACTGTGTCACAGAAAGCTGACGCTAGGGGATCTATAAAATCCCGCCATGTTGATAGTGAAGGTCCAGATCGGCTGCAAGCCAACCCGTTGACCTAGCTTAAGAACTTCATGCAACGGAGACCTCATAAGCTCAACGGCATAGCAACTATAAGAGCAAGTTGCACAACTTAGCAACTCGGTTGCTTCAACAGCTTAACACGAATGCTGAACATAGATTAGTTAGCTTGATTCCTGCATAGACAAAACATGTGTTGCGAGGAACATCCAGGTTATAAACACGTATAGGACATAGCAACATGCATAGGTTTGTATGCATAGCCCACCTGGCATGGGTTTTTCCGCAAAGGTTATACCTGTGTGGGAGAAACCACAATGACGGATTCCTTTTCTGTGCTTTTTATACCATGGATGTGTGTGCAACAGCAATGCGCATAGATATAACCCACGAGGGTGACCATTGGCGCAGGAAAAACTTGAAAAGCGGTATAGCCAGTGTATCATCACATAAGGGCTATCAGCACCAGAGTGTACTGTGACCAGTGTAAGTGACACTACCCCCTTTCATGAAAACCAACGGCCAGCCGGTGTTAAACATTGAAAGGCAAAGAGTAGCGCAGCACCAGCGTAAGAAGCAGAAGCGTACGAAGCCCATTTCCTCGCACAAGCAGCAGCAGCACAGCCAGTGCTTATCGTAGAAAGCGATGGACAGCGGCCACGCCGGCACGCATAATGGCTAGTGTAAGCAGTATTCCACACCCATATGAGAAGACGGCGGCAAAGCCAGTGTTAACAGAAGGCAGCAGCATTGAGTGGGCGGAACACGCCCCCAGCTGCCCCGTGTCTCGCGCGAGTATCTCTTCCTAATAAATAAGAATGAACATCTGAAGGTATGTTGAAAGATACAGTAAAACTAACTGAAATATATTATATCTCGTATAATCGCTCAATCAGGGTTTCAATGGAGGAAAGACATCAGTAAAACAGCTTGTAAACAATATCCCAGGTAGCATTACATTTACCTCAGGCAAGTCATTCAGTGTCCACAGCTTGTTAGAAATTAACTCTAACTTTAAACAGATGTGTAAAAATCTTATTTCAGGTGGTGTTTTTTGCTGTTCACTAGGGGTGTAACGGTACACAAAACTGACGGTTCGGTACGTATCTTGGTTATGACGTCACGGTTCGGTACAGTATGGGGGTTGGGGTCTCGAAAAAAAGCTTGCTTATGCGAAGTGCATGCCGAGTAGAAAAGTATATACTGCTAGTCAGGCTGGCGTACGCCTCTGAATTTTTAAGACACAGCCTAGACAGCAGCAGGGAATGAAGCCACTAGACAGCGTTTGTGCACAAAGATAGCTCATGAAACTGATTTCGGACAGACTTCTGGGGTAGCGTATCAGTTTTATGATCTACAGCAATAATAGAGAGAGCATTGGTGAAAACTAAGCAAATAATGAATTACTACAATAGTAATTTTAGTAATTAGAAATGACATCAAAAGTGAAAAATGTTGGTCAAAAACATTTACACATGAACCTACCACCAACTGCAACTTTGAGATGCAATCTTTATTTTGTAGCTCAAGGCAGCGAAGGATACATCTATGCTGCCTTAAAAAATCAATCAGATTAAGGTATTTCAGGAGCATGGAAACTTGTTTCCACCATGGAATAAAAAATAAAGGTAATTGCGTCTTTATCTCAGAATTCTGACTTTTTCTCACAATTCACGAGTTCACACTTACATACAATTAAAGGGAATAAAGTATAATGCGTATTTGGCGTGCTGTCCGGGGGGAGGGCTCCGAGCTCGGAATTCGGCCGAACCCAGAGTACTCCCCCTGTATGTATGTAAAGTGGTTTAGGACTAGAAGAGTGGAGAAGGGGTGGTGGAGGGACGCTGCCAAACTGTCAGATAAATGAGGTGAGACTGCTGAGTCTATATATACGTTTTAATCATGATTGCCGAGTGCTCTCCACCCGTGTTAATTATCTGAACGTGCTTCTCCCGAACTTTTTTAATAAAACATATTTAATCATGGTTGCTGAGTGCTCTCCACCCGTGTTAATTATCTGAACGTGCTTCTCCCGAACTTTGTTAATAAAACATAATTTGTAAGTTTACAACTCACACTTTTTACTTTTTTCAGAATTGCGTGATTCAGTCACAATTGCAAGTTATAAAGTCACAGTTGCGTGTTATAAAGTCACTATATCTTAAAATTCTGACTTTATAACAAGCAATTGCGACTTTATATCTTAAAATTCTGACTTTATAACAAGCAATTAAGTCGCAATTCTTTTTTGTGTGAGAAAAAAGTCTGAATTGCGATTTATGACTTTATAACTCACAATTGCGACTTTATATCACATAATTCTGAGGAAAAAAAGTCCAAATTATTATTATTTTTTATTCTGTGGCGGAAACAAGCTTCCATACACGGAGACAAAGTGAACCTAACTAGGTCTACCAACGTAACATACCCATAGAAACCAAAGCAGATATTCCGGAAAACGATAGAGCTCCACAGGACACAAATAGGCAGTGCTGGGTAAATTACAAATTGTAGTCAATTACTGAACACAATTTACATGATGAAAATTGCAGTTTAGGTAATATAATCTGATTACATTTAGATTTTTTTGACCTAACTCGTTTATCACATTGATTTGAAAAATACAAAGAAAAAGAAAATGTATTCCATTCTTTATCAACAACATGAAGTGCATTTGCATTAAATATTACATCAGGGTTTTCCGAACTATAGGGTTTGTGAGGAACTGCTTATAAGCTGATGAAAAGCTAATAATTAAATCTAAAAAATAATAAATGTAGATATTTTAAATTTGATGAAAGAACATGATACCCTTTATAATTTTTGGCTTACTAGAGATTATATGTCGTTATAGAGGCAGCTAAGATGTTTATGCATTCTATGGTTATGTCACACATTATCTATTGTTTAACAATCTGGTCTCAGGCGAGTTCAGTGACTCTAAAACCATTAGAGTCTATACAAACGTACACTTAAAGTTCTTGATAAGAAATCGATACACTTTCATCATTGTTCAATATTAAAAAAATATATAATCTGCTGAGTTGGGAAAATATGATTAAATATGCCAATGTATGCCTGATGTATAAGATTATCTATGGTTTAACTTCTCCCCCTCTTAGTCAGTTAGTTAGTATTAGTATTAGTATAGAAATTTATAATAATAACCTCTCAATTTTGTGTGTAATTACAACCAGCTGACTAGTGGCTGGTCTGTGCGTGCAATTCCACAAAACTGAAAGGCTATCTGAACAGAAGAAATACGTTTTTTTTAGAAAGGAAAATTTAAAAGATAAAAAAATATCAGGGAGAATAGATACATTTTGTAACGTAATGTAATCATGTAATCAATACTGTAAAAAGTAACTGTAGTCTATTCTGTAGTATTTTAGATAATATAATCTAATAACAAGTAATTTTTGGAATCTGATTGTGTAATCCAGATTAAAAATTATCAGCTACTACCCAGCACTGCAAATAGGATCTGAACACACACAGTCAAACAAATAGATCAAATTACAATCCGATACACAAATAAGTGGATTTGGACTGACAGTGTGAACCTAGCCTTAGATGGAACGCTCTATTTAAGGTATGCTAGGGCTGTGTCATTGATGTAGGAGTCTTTGTCATGAGCACTGGGCATTTCAGAATTCTGAGCCTTTGGTCCAATCCACTGCCATTAAAAGTGACGTGTTCCATCTTTTATGGGAGGTGTTGAGTAGTGGCTAAAGCTCAGTCAGAAACAGGACAATGAACCTTGTACCCTTAAACGCGGCTCCTATAACCTCAGGATGCTCCAGAGTGATTTTCTTTGTAACAGTTCTGTAAATCACTGGATAAACGCACTTCAGAGCACTGTGATTTCTGGGTTCAAAACTTCATCACCATTACATGCCCCTGATGGGTTATTAGACTGTCTATTTCTTGAAAAACAGGACTGCCGAATGTAATCCTGCCCTGGATGTACAGGAACAAATTCTGGTTTCACTGTTTGGATGGATGGACCCTGAATCCCAATCATAGTGACCTGCTGGAAGATCTCCATGGTGGTGTAATCACTCATGAACACAACAGCAGGTTGGGATGCTGGGATGAAGTCCGACCGTGTCATGTTGGAGATGGTCTCTCCAGGGTCTTTGCTTTCTAAACTTGTGATGTCATTGTCAACAGAAGTGCTCAAAGTGGAGTCTGTCATACCAAAGTCCATAGGGAAGGTCTCTGTGGAAACAGACTCTCTGGAGGGGACTTGTGTTGGGGTGTCTGGGGGTGTGATCTCATCCAGGATGGATGGGCTGTCCTGATCTCCACTGAGAAGATGGATGGTGGGCTTCACACCAGCGTGAGAAATGGGAGGACTGCTGAGAGGAGTCGCCTCCCTTTTGCTCTCAACAACACACACTGTACTGGAATCACATCCCTCACTCTCCTCTAACCGCTGCCTGTTCAGTGGCTCCAGGATACCCTACAGAGAAAAAAGAAAGAAAGTGACCAAAGGATTCAAAGTCCATATAACTTACACTGTTCAAACATCTCATCATGAATTAAAACTTAAACATTTTAGTAGTCCTAGAGGATCCATGCTGCCCGTGGCTTTTTCGACATAGTACCATGGTAATAAAGTGTTGTTTTGGACACCATCAAATTATTGAATACTATGGAGTTATAAATACCATAGGAACATGGTAATCATTCAGTATGATTAATGTTAATCTACTTATTCAAAAAATACATTAAAAACGCAATTCACACACTACAAAATTGATACTTTTATTCAGAAACGATACTTTAATTTGTTTTAAAAGTGACAGTAAAAACTTTACACCGTTACAAAATTTTGTTTTTAAATAAATGCTATTCTTTTAAACTTTCTATTGATCAAAGAATTCTTAAAAAAAAAAAATTTTAAGTTTCACACATTCCACAAAACTATTAAGCAGCTCTTTTCAACATTGGTAATAAGAAATGTTTCTTGAGCACCAAATCAGTATTTCAATCATTTCTGAAGGATCATGTGATACTGAAGACTGGAGTAAAGAGTCCTGAAAATTCAGCTTTGCCATCACATAAATATAAATTACATTTTCAAATAGAAAATGGTTATTTTAAATTTTAATCTTTCAAAATATAGCTGGTTTTACTGTATTTTTTATCAAATAAATGCAGCCTTGGTGAGCATAAGACTTGAATGAAATTCTTGCAAATAAAAAGTAGTTTGGTATAATCCTCAATTATTATTTCGTAGAAAAATATTTTAACAAAACTGCTTATTAATATTTTAACATGTATGCATTAAGCTCAAAAAGTTTCTTAAAACAACAGATAATTGCACCTTTTTATGGAAAGGTTGATTTAATAATATAATAAATACTTTTTGAGTTTTTGAAAGTAATTATTGGATGTGTTCAATCACAAGCATTCAATGTGTAAAGGAAATATGTTATTACTGTTTTATTTATGGTTACACCACATGACACCACGTGTCATTACATTTTAAAATTTTATTTTATAAACGTTTTTCAAAAACACGAAACAACGTGAATACAAATATTCAGTACCTTGGCATACCATGTAAACCATAGTATTACCATCTGAGGTCATCACTGCCTCAGTAGTTTTTGTATATTATTTTTTATATATTCTTTAGTATATTCTTATCACAAAGTATTGTTTTATCATTATATTGTCTCATATTGTCTTATATTGTATTATATTATTAAATTGTCATTATATTGCATCATGTACTGTATATTGTCACTATATTCTTCTTACCAGTTCATAGGCAATTTCAATTTTCTGAACAGCATTGCTATTCTCAGGATTTGGTATACTTGGCCACATCAGTTTCTTGGCTCTGTAAAAATCCACATTGAGTTTTACATTAGTTATTGGTTATATAGTGTCAGTCTTTCGGAAAATGAAATGCGTGTGTCTTTACCTGTGCAGAAGCCGACAGCTGAAGTGAACCGCTAGTAAAAGAACTATTATTCCCACAATCACCGCAGCTATAATGCTGCTCAAAGCAGTGAATTCTGTCGGAATAAGCCATGTTGTCAATGCATTTGTGACTTTTTTTAATTCATGTAATTCGAAAACAAACCTTCTGACAGACAGACACATTCTCAAACACATTTACTGTGTATCATGAACAGCTGTAAGGCAGATAAACTTTGAATAGCAGCTCAATGACAGACACAAGCATCTCATGAGTTATGAGTTTACCTGGCGGGTTTGTGACAAAGTGTTTGAAATCGGTGCGCTCTCCTTCTCCAGCCGCTGTAAATGCAGACAGCTGTACACGGTACGCACTGTTGCTTTTAAGATTCAGCAGCTTAAAACTGTTTAGGCTGGGATCCACTTTAAAGGCTGTGAATGTCAAATTTAATAGAAAACAGCCCAAATCACAGCAGTTAAAAAAATATCACATTTATAACCGTATTATCGTGCATTTCACTGATTCTTTCTTGAGAACTGAGACAAAAAAAAAAAGGTTTCATTAATTTTATTTTAATTTCAATTTATTTTAATTTTGCCAAAGCGAACTTTCCAAAAAGTTTCGCTCTGGCTGGTAAACAATATCGAACTACCATTGGTCCATGGCAATGATGTAACAGGTGATGCGAGTGATGATATAAACGCTGGAGAGCTGCTTCATAGTAGAAATTGAACTGTCATTCTCATTTAAAAGCAACACTGACACTTTTTCATGTTTAATATTGTAAATCTGCTATATTAATAAATGTGACATGACTTTAGTTGACTGGATTGCCAAATTGCTGAGCTCATGCAAACATCCACATCGCAATGATCAGATGTTTTCTTAACTGTTGTTTTCTCTCTGTCATTTTTGTTAAGTTTTTATTTTGTTATTGAGAGGACAGCAGTATACCACTGCAAAGGTATTTCTAACTTCTTTTTACCCCTAATCGAAGAACGGAAAAGAACTTTGCTGTGAGTATATTGGGCCTTAATTGTCATGTATTGTTTTGGTTTTGTTTCATGATCTTGTTTCATATCTGTCATGTTTCCTGTTACCACTGTTGGTAAGTGTCATGTCCGTGTTTCTGTTTTGATGTCCATGCCACGCCATGTCTTTGTTTTATGTCTGATCTGAGAATTAAAGCTGCACTTGGGTTCTTTCTTCAAACTTGCCTTCAGTGGATATCATTACATTAATAAACCACGCTTTGGTACAATTCCAATTGTCATTACATTTCATCAAAACATTTTTCAAATGATAATCAGTGAGCTGTTTATTAATATAATGCTAAATGTTATAAGACCATTATCAAGCCTGAGTTGACAAAATTTAAATTCTACTGTCTACTGAAAAATAAAATCTGTTAAATATTATAATTTTCTTGAAATAATTCCAGATCTTTCAAGAAATATGGGGTTGATGTGGCTGTTTTAGAGCACAGTTCAAATTAAATGTACGAAACTTAAGACCTAAGATCAGAAACAAGTGGTAAAGGAATGCTCAGAATTTTAGAAATATCTGACAATGTTGACAATCAGACACAAATTCAAGCCAAGTGACAAATAATAATAATAATAATAATACATTTCTTACATATAATTTGAAATCTACCAGTAATGTGTCAGATATTTCATTTTAAATATTAACTTTATAATAAAACATTTTAAATAACTAATTAAACGCTTACCTGTCACATCACAAGTTTCCTGGTATACAGTTGAGAAAGTTAATTCTCTTAATTAAGTAAATGAAGGTGAAAGAAACCAGCCTAAAATGTTTTGTCCCAGTTCTCAAGAATCTCTGATAAGCATTTTATGATGGTGAATTATATAAAGCTTCTACTCACATGTTTCATTATTGTCCTCTGTGTAGTAGATGTAGTAGCCTAATAAGAATCCACGCAAGTCTTCCTCAGACACGGGACTCCACGTGATCACTGAGGAATACTGGGTAATATTCAAAATGCTCACATTCCCAGGAGCACTAATCGGACCTGAAAGCCCAAAAGTGCTTCAGTTCAGTCAGATAGAAAGATACATCTGTTGTCTAGCAGACCAGTTAAGAATGTAAATATTCTGACAGTATATGATGTGAATCTTCTGCATTTTACCTAAAATTTTAGCTTGCACACATTTCAGTAGCACATATTTCTCAGCCAGAGAATTCAATTTGACACTTTTTTTAGACTACAAATAAATTATTTTCAAATAAACAATAGTATTGCATTTCAGATGTTAGCTTCTTAACTAGCATAACCAGCAAAACATCCTTTGTTAATCAGCTTAATAGCGAGGTTTTGCTAGTTAAAAGCACATACACTCAGCTAAAGGATTATTAGGAACGCCATACTAATATTGTGTTTGACCCCCTTTCGCCTTCAGAACTGCCTTAATTCTACGTGGCATTGATTCAACAAGGTGCTGAAAGCATTCTTTAGAAATGTTGGCCCATATTGATAGGATAGCATCTTGCGCCCGTTTCCGAAGCTCCCGTTCCACCACATCCCAAAGATGCTCTATTCGGTTGAGATCTGGTGACTGTGGGGCCCATTTTAGTACAGTGAACTCATTGTCATGTTCAAGAAATCAATTTGAAATGATTCGAGCTTTGTGACATGGTGCATTATCCTGCTGGAAGTAGCCATCAGAGGATGGGTACATCGTGGCTATAAAGGGATGGACATGGTCAGAAACAATGCTCAGGTAGGCCGTGGCATTTAAACGATGCCCAATTGGCACTAAGGGGCCTAAAGTGTGCCAAGAAAACATCCCCCGCACCATTACACCACCACCACCAGCCTGCACAGTGGTAACAAGGCATGATGGATCCATCTTCTCATTCTGTTTACGCCAAATTCTGACTCTACCATCTGAATGTCTCAACAGAAATCGAGACTCATCAGACCAGGCAACATTTTTCCAGTCTTCAACTTTCCAATTTTGGTGAGCTCTTGCAAATTGTAGCCTCTTTTTCCTATTTGTAGTGGAGATGAGTGGTACCAGGTGGGGTCTTCTGCTGTTGTAGCCCTGTTACGTTCCACGTGGGGTTTGTTTTGTTTTCACTAGTCTGTGCACGCTGGCATATTCCGCACGTGTTGATAGTATATGCTCATTATCTGTTTCTGTTTCTAGCTCACTCTTGGCTGGCAGGCTGTTGTGATTGGCCTAGCGGGACGTCACTCATCGTTGGGGCGGCGCCCGGGAGCCAATCAGAGTTGTCCAGCTGGGTTCAAAAGGATGGCGTTTTCATTCATTCGATCTCTCGGAAGCGGCCATGAGCTCGTGTAGCGTTGTGAGGTTACTAAACCTGTGAATGGAGATTCAGATAGTGATGACTGGCTCTTTGTAGTGGAATGAGTTGGGTGCTTTATGCTTTGTTTATATGTACCTTAATATTCAGTATGTTTTAGTCGTAGAGATCATAGTTTCAATGTGTATCCCAGTTTGACGCTGTGGGGTCCTGTAATTCGACTCTCTCTGGGAAAGAGAACGACAGGTCAGTATGCCGCGGTATACATAATGCCCGTAGTGTTTATTTGTTAGATACACTAGGTTAGGAGTGAGCGCCACTCTGTGTATGTTTTGTTTAATAGTTAGTTTATTTAGGTGCCGAATGCACTGAAGATTTCGGTTTTCTTTTCACCTTTTCCTTTGGTTAGGTTTAGGTTTAGTATAACGCTTGTTTTGTTATATTCTGTTCTTTTCTTTGGCGCCACTTTTTGGTTCTCTTTCCTATTATTTGATTATTGTTATTCTTTAAACATTGTAAATAGCACACCCATTGATCATCCGAACTGGAACTAGTGGCTTCGGCTTTGTGACAATAAAAATCCAGTTTGTTTCTCTTCAAGTTGAGTCTGTCATGGTTTCCTCTCCACCGTATACAGCCATCAGCAGTACTAATAAAACAAATGTTGCGTAACATCTCCTAGACTTTAAAAGGATCGTAACATTTAAGGGGGGCTCGTCCGGGATACTTTATATTCTTATTGTTTCCCGAGTTATTATCTACTGCTGATGTGAGTGGTGGAGTGACCATGTTCAGTACTTTCCTTGTAGAGTGTTAATTCGCGAGGCAGTGATTAGTGGATGGGCTGGTTGATTGTATGGTTAGTGATTCTGATAAGAGTAAGTATGGGTGATTTTGATTTAGACACCTTTTTGAGTGCACCTACGGTTGAGCAGTTAAATAAATGTAGGAAAGATGATTTACTGCGCATCGCTGCTCATTTTCAGGTTACTGTTTCGAAGCAGCGGCTTAAAAAAGAGATTAAGTTTGCTGTATCCCAAAGGTTGGTGGAACTTGGTGTTTTAGTGTTGCCTGCAGGTGTTGGGGAAGTTTTTCCTGGTGCTGACAGTCGCCCTGAGGAGGAGGAGCAGAGCGAGACGGCTGAGGTAGAGGGTTCCGAAGCCAAAGCCGTTTTGCCGCCCTTCGAACCTTTTTCGCCGGACTCAGATGAGTCTACAGGAGGTGATGCACGACTGAAGGTTCGTATAGCGCGACTCCAGATGGAGACCCGCGAACGGGCAGAAGTCCGTCGAGCGGATTTGGATTTTCGACTGGAAGTCCGCAGACTCGAAATAGAGGCGGAGACGCAGATTAAGCTGCGTGAACTTGAATTGAATGCAGCCAAAGTGACCCCTGTTCCAGTTGTGCAAACCTCACCGCCCGCTGATGCTTCGGCAGGGGCTGGGCTGGTGAGAACCACCTTTGAGGTCAGTAAACATATTTCCCTTGTGCCGCAGTTTCGAGAAACAGAAGTTGACTCATATTTTAGTGTGTTTGAGAGGATTGCTTCCACACTCCATTGGCCTAAAGAGGTTTGGCCTTTGCTGCTGCAGTGTAAGCTGACCGGTAAAGCTCAGGATGTTTGTGCTACATTGTCCTTAGCGGATAGTGTGAATTATGAAGTAGTGAAAGCTGCGATTTTGCGTGCATATGAGCTGGTGCCCGAAGCTTATAGACAGCGTTTTAGGGGTCATAAGAAAAATTCTAGTCAGACTTTTGTTGAATTTGCAAGGGAGAAAGGCACTTTGTTTGACAAATGGTGTACATCTAGTAAAGTGAATGATTTAAAAGACGTGCGGGAGTTAATTCTTTTGGAAGAATTTAAGAATTGTATTCCTGAACGTGTTGTCGTTTACTTGAATGAACAAAAAGTAACGTCTTTGTCTCAAGCCTCCGTTCTGGCAGATGAGTTCTCTTACGAGAGGTTCTCTCGTATTGCGTAAGCTAGCTTACGCTGCGGGAAAGATTCATCTTTGCTGAGATATTGAAGCCAAAAATTATTTCATAATTTGTATCCATACACAACGCAGTTCCTCTGCGGCAGACCTAGAGCAGGCTAGCTAGCAGCTCATTGGTTCGCTCAGAGAGAACTGCTTAAGCCTATGGGAGAGCGGGGCTGAACCCGCTTCCAATGAGAGGCGCCCGCGCGCTCATTGCGTCATGGCCCGCCAGAATGGGCGTGGCCATGGTGTATATAACAGTCTCTCCCAGGCTTATATGTTGATTCATTTCATCTTCAGCAAGCTGCACGCTTCTGCTGTCCTGAGAAAAGCCGTCGCCGTCGAGAAGGCATCACTCTAGCGAGCTCCCGGACCCTGAAGAAGCCGGCCGTCTTCGCCACCTTCAGCCGCCCTGCAAGCTAGCGCCATCCGACGACTGTATCCTTCTCTATTATATCTAAAAGAGCCGAGCGTCTTTTTAAAGATGTCTCGTTTTTCCTGCGGCTCTTGCCGCGCTCGTCTCGAGGACGGAGACCGCCATGTCATCTGCGCTCTCTGCCTGGGACTCGAGCACGCAGAACTCGCCCTCGCGGATGGAGGATGCGACTTCTGTGAGAGCCTGCCGTTGTCGTCCCTGCGGGCACGACTTCTGGCAGCAAAATCCGCTCCCGCGCCGCCTTCCTCTTCGCCGCGTAAGAAAAAACGCCGCTCCCAGAGGCCGCCGGAGCCCCCAGCAGAACAATGCGGGCCGCCACCGCCGCCTCCCGCTTCCCGCTCTCCCTCCCCGCCCCTGCCGGACATACAGTTGCCGCCGAGTGGCCGCTCTGTCGCTTCCGATGACGCCGCGGAGGAGAAGGACTCCTGTTCACTGCTCGCTTCTGACAGTGAAGAATGGTCATCTCTCGGATCCACGAGAGAATCGGCGGGGATCCGCGCCGGGATAGAGGAGGAACTAATGCGCCTCCTCTCACAGGCCGTCGAACGCCTCGGTCTCGAGTGGTCTCCTCCACCCGAGCAGGCCCCGAACCGGATGGACGGCAGCTTTTTTCATCGCAGAGCTGACGAAGTCCTGGAATGCCCCGCTCTCGGCTAGAAACCGCTCTGATATATCCGCCTCGCTGCGCTCGGTGGACGGAGCCGCCGAGAAAGGCTACTCAGCCATGCCGCCCGTCGAGGACTTGGTCGCCGCACACCTCTGCCCGCCCTCTGCTAGATGGCGCTCTTCCCCCACGCTTCCTTCGAAAGCTTGCAGAGCGACCTCGAGCTTTCATGCTCGCGCCTACGCCGCCGCCGGTCAGGCCGCCGCAGCGCTACATTCGATGTCTGTCCTCCAAGTATTACAGAGCGATATTCTCCGTGAGTGGGCCGAAGGCGGTAGAAACCCCTCCCCCGCTGTCACGGATCTGAGAAGTGCTACGGACCTCGCCCTTCGCGCCACTAAAGCCGCCGCACAAGCTCTGGGGAGATGCATGGCCAGCCTTTGTGTTGCCGAGAGACACTTATGGCTCACGCTCGCCGACATGGGAGATTCTGAGCGCGCCGCGTTTCTTAACGCGCCCCTCTCCCCGACGGGCCTTTTTGGATCTGCTGTCACGGGAATCGTCGATCGCTTTTCTGAGGTCCAGAAAGCTACTCAGGCGATGAATTTGTTTCTGCCCCGCCGCGCTAGCTCTTCCGCGGGCCGCTCTCGCGAGCCTCCTGCCAGAGCTCCACCACAGCGCCCCCCTCCGCAGACTCAAACAGCCCAGCGCAGACAGGGCGGCCG